TGCTCTGCAACTTTATATGCGAAAGAATAACAAAACATTAATATCCCACATTTGACTCCCCCAGGGCACAATCCTACAAGAAACAACCAGTGAGCAATAAGCTGAACAAAGGAACACCACCATCATTAGCTGTGGGCATCCAGAAGTTCACACTTCCCTTACGGAAGCAGCAGGTCTCCATTTCCATTGTTTCTCAAGGAACCTCCCCTCCCACTTCCAGCCTCCTGTTTAAATCAATCACATTTTCTCCTGCTAACCCAGTTTACCTCCTGCTATTAAGGGATATTACTTAAATGCCTGTAAACCTGCCCCCCCCCAGCTTTTTGTTGGAAATGCCAGAAGCCAGACGGAGGTTTCAAAATAATTACTCTGAGAATTACCAGATACCAAAAACTCTTTTTACATATAACACAAAATCGTGTGTAGCAAACAGGATGCAAGTTTTGGAATATTTACCAGCTCTCCCTTATACCCACGTCAAATTTCCTATAGCCCGTGATCCTTTAATCCTGGAGGAACTAGGAAGACAGGGGAAGAGGGAAAAGCCAAGAATAAATGAGGCCTGAGCTCCTCACGGCCACGCATCTGAATATGAACAGAGAGGCATGTCCTTATACCTCCAAGAAGAAAATATACTTGCTAGACAAAGCAGTGACCTGGGCCCTTTCTGCACTCTACTTTTAATCCACGTTCAACGTGGTGTCCTCCAAGCAGTTCTGCACTAAAATCGAGTTCAGCCTTCTTGTTATTCCAGGTTTCCCCCCCATTCTGCATTGCATCCCCTCCCTTCAGTGGTCAGCCTGTTTTCAGCCTGCTGTTGCCAGGTCATTTGGATGCTGTTTTGCCGTGGACTTAAATTGCCTCGGCCACTTCCGCACTGTCATTTTTGTCACTTGTTTGTCCCTATTGCTTTTGGTCCCTCCCTCCCCCCCTTTCCCACATGTGTTTTGCTCCCTCTGGAACTACTAGACAGAGCAAAACACATTGGCAGTGTGTGTGGGGGGGAACCCTGAAGCAATAGGGACAAACAAGTGACAAAAAATGACAGTGCGGAAGTGGCCCTCTCGACTGAGAAAATCTGGAGTGGCAGGCAAATGTGGAAAGGACCTCAGTTAGATGTTTAAAGCATGGAGCATAAAGAAACATGCTCGGTTCTACTACTATGGCTCCTACCAGTACCTCTTGGCTTTATGAAATACAGATTTGTATTTTTCATATTACAATAGTGACTAGATTTATGAGGCTTTAAAAGTCAATTCAGCAGCCTGGAACAGGTAAGATGCTGGAACAGGTTAGCTGCCTGGTCCAGAGTTATTTCTCTCCCCGTATTGACCTTAAGCTCTTCTGCAGTTTAAGAGAGCTCGTCAGCCTCAAAGGAAGAAGCAATATTGGGATTGTCCGTGATTCATGGACTGACATCTTAGGCCATCTTCATGTAGCACTGTGTGCGTGTGTTGTCCTGTCAAGTCACTTCCTGCCTATGGTGCCCCCCGTCCTCTAAAATGTCCAATCATTAACAGCCTTGCTCAGGTCTTGCAAACTGAAGGCTATGTTTTCCTTTATAGAATCCATCCATCTTATGTTGGATCTTCCTCTTTTCCTGCTGCCTTCAACTTTACCCAGCATTATTGTCTTTTGCAGCGACTTTCCTCATAATGGGAGCAAAGTATGATAGCCTCAGTTTAGTCATGTTAGCTTCTAGGCTTGATATGATCTATAACACACCGATTTGTCTTTTTAGCAGTCCACGGTATCCATAAAGTCTTCTACAACACCACATATCAACTTTCTTTATTGTCCAACTTTCACTCCCATGCATAATAATGGGGAATACCATGGCATGAATTAAGTTGATCTTGGTCGCCAGCAACACATCCCTACACTTAAAGAATCTTTTCTGACTCTTTCCTGGCTGCCCTTCCCAGTCTCCATCTCCTTTGATTTTTTCAGTTGCAGTCTCCCTTTTGGTGATGATATAGCATTGGGGACTAGTATTTCCCCCAACAAATTTATTTTTAACATGCTAGGCATGAACAGGAGGGCACTGGATAGTCAGGAATTATGCTGGGTACAAGAACAAAGTTTGAGTCCAGTGGCACCTTTAAGACCAACAAAGTTAAATTCTGGGTATAAGCTTTTGTGTGCATGCACACTTTGACTGCACTTGACAAATGCCTGTAAGAGATACCAACTTTGTGGTCATCTGGACTGCAACTGTATAACTGTATACACTCTTCTGCAGGTGAAGTATAAAGTAACTTTTCAATGTTTAGCAGTTAAAAGTAGCTAGATACATGAACTGCTGGAACAACTATGTGTTCTGCATAACTTAAAAAACAGGTACACAGCAAAGTATGTGGCAGTATGGCTCAAGCCAATAAATCCAATAAATAAAAATAAATAAATACAACTCACTGATACATTTTCAGTTGCTGGAAAGAAAGGCCTTTAAAATGATAGCCTGAAGCACCTCATTTTCTCCCTTCAGCTCTTTTTTTATTTTGCTTTTTAAAATTCAGCCTGAAGAAGAGTACTGGTAAACTAAAAAGCTTGCACATTGTTTTGTGTCATTGCAGCTAGTCCTAATAAAAAGTACTGTGTGAACTGTGGTTTGTTTTTGGATCTCCATTGCTCAGCTTAGGAACCAGCCAAAAGGCATAATCTTTCTAGAATGAATACCCAGAATTTATAGGCAACAGAATGCACAGCCCAATACCACTCTCTGACCAACCTCTAGAGTTATACAGGAGGGTTTACAACAGAGCCAAACTGCAGATGAACAATGAAGGCTAGTTCCCAGGCACTACACAATGGGAGTGGTTCACAAGGGAAGTTGCTCTAATTACTGCATTGATGGAACTTTTAAGCATTATTACCACATGGGTCAGAAATTAACCCTTCAGCAAATCTTTTGTTACAGATTTTGTCGTGGGTCAGTCAGGAGACATGGACTCCTCAGGAGGAGAGGCGTCCTGTGTAGCCAGCTCTGAATCAGCAGAGGCTGGCAAGCAAGAATATGAACTCCAGGCTTGTCAGAGTTCACAGCTGATGCAGAGCTACCAGCCCCTTCCAGCCCCCTTCCAACAGATGAAACCCAAGTGGTCATTACCAGCCCTCCAGTTTCACCCACACCCTTTGAGCACTGAAGAGGAAGGCTTAGAATGGAGCTCCAGGAGAGAAGACAAAGCACGTCTCCTGGCCCGACGCCAGCTGCTTGCTGATGATGAGTAGCTGCAGGATTACTCCCAAGCAGTTGGCTGCAAGTAAGACCTTCCAGCAGAGGCCTATAAAAGCCAGTCAAGGGAGACTGCTCAATGTGGAAGCAACAAGTCACTACCAGTGTTCCCTCTAAGGTGAGTTAGTGTGAGCCAGCTCACAGTTTTCTAGTCTCAGGCTCACACATTTTTGTCTTGGCTCAGGAAGGATGGCTCCAGAGCACACTAATTTATGCAGTAGCCAAGTCGCTCGCTCACAGCTTTAATACCAGCAACTCACCAAGTAGAATTTTTGCTCACAAGACTCCATAGCTTAGAGGGAGCCTTGGTCACCACCTGGTGAATGCTACAACCACAGCTCCTGACTCTGCTTCATCCCAGTGACCTTCAGACCAACGACTCTCCCTTTCCTGACTTCACTCTGCTTCATCCCAGTGACCTTCAGACCAGCTTTGGACTGAACGACTCTCCCTTGCCTGACTTTAAGAACCCTGACTTTGGACTGACATTGATGCTGACTCTGGAGTCTGACTGCAACTGCACCCAGGCTCTGACAGATATTTAAAATCTGATTGTTCAATAATTGCACATTTGATATGCTTACTGAACCACTGTAACAATGAAGAAACCATCAATCTTTTTTACAAAGCACCACTTGCAACTAACCACCTACTATATCATTCTCCCTTGGTAATAATGTATTATAAACATTAACACTTTGCCACATGTCAGAGGACAGGTTTTGAAAACATTTGCCAGTCTAACAAGCTCCCTCTCCAATTCTCTTACCAAATCAACATTCCCCAGTAGAACACAAATCAATTCTGAGAAAGGTAAAGGGTTAGAGCCAAGCTCTGACAAACAGAAAATGGTTTGTGGCAGCAGAACTTCTCTGGTTTTCCTGTCCTTGTAGCAGCTTTCTGTACCACCTGCATAGCTGTTTCTGAGGGTCAGGGACTCTTGAAGACAGGTCATATAGCACAGACACAGGGCTTCAGCAAGACAAGGGATTTGGACCCCCCCGCAAAATGTTGGAAGCAGTCTAGTAACCCAACTGTACAGAACGCAAGGTTTAAAAGGCTCACCACACACAGATTATCCCATTGGGAGTTATTTCTTCTCACGTCCACACAGAGTTTTGCATACATTTGAAACTGAACACAAATTACAAGACAGCAAACCCCGAATTCATCAGGGCATGGGAGATAAGCAGGGTCAGCCACGGTCAGTAGTTGGATGGGAGACCACCAAAGAAGACTGGTGATGCTTTGCAGAGAAAAGCAATGGCAAACCACCTCTGCTTGCCTCTTGCATGGAAAGCCCCATGGATGGGGTCACCATGAGCCAGTTGCAACTTAATGGCATGTTTGTCTTCTAAACCAATTAGGAAAACTGTCACAGGAAATCATTATTTATTGACCAACTCAAAGAAAGTGTAACTGGAATATCACATTCTTCTGGAAGACCAATGTGTCTACATTGTTGCTAGCAACAGCTCTGTACACAGAGACCTACAGCATGAAGTTAGCCAACTTCAGCCACTTCACTGTACTTATTACCATAGTATCTACAACCAAGGCAGTTTACACATATCCACTCAACACTATCAAGACATCCTCACTTTAAATACACATGCAGCTGATAGGCTGTAAGGACCCAAATGCTAACTGAAAATATTTATGCCCCAAATACTATTTCCTCTTTATTTCATGTGGTAGGTCTCTCACTTCAGCTGTAGGCTGCTAGTGCTTCAGTACCTGTGCCACAAAAGCAGAGAAGACATACCTGATAATAGGTCTTGATGTTTCGGACCAAGATGGTGAGGTTTTGAATCCGGAGGTTGACGTCATTGTCGACATGCTTGTTGACACGTTGGTTTGTTGGCCGTGGATCTCTAAGAAAGTAAGATCAAGGATTTAGAAAGAATTGGAATCAAAATAATTTTCTTACCATCTCTTACCATCACTGCTATTTGTCAGAACGGGGTAAGGGCCAGACTTATTTCCCAATTTTGAACCTGTTTCTCCCAAACCAAGCACAATCTACAGGGCAGAATGCAACAGAGGCAGATTTTTCATGGGTGGTTGCAATGCTTCCTCTGTCCCCGCACAACATTGTCCCAAAGAGAAGCACACTGTTTTCCCCCAACAGACATTCATTTATATCCAAGCCAGCCCAACTCAGCAACTTCTTGCCTCTTGCATGATGAAGGTTGGGGAGTTTGGTCTGTATCTGGTTAATTGCTATTGCTTTCCTTTCAGGTTAATTGCTACTGCATTCCTTTCTGTGCTTTCTCTGCTGTGCGCTGAAATGCTTATCTATACAGATGTGCAGGAGGGTGTTGTGGTGTCTGGGTTTTCCCTAGGTGTCGTGGTAGAGTGTTCGTTCTCAGCTTCAGCTACCTAACGATCTCTAAGCTTTATCCCCGGCGTGGGAGGGTGCCTAATTGGCCAGTGCTGGGTGTGTGTGCATACGAATACCCTATATCCTATTATGCCCATGGGGCCACCGCCATTCTTAACAGTGTCTATGTTACTGCATCTATAGCTCTGCAATAAAAGTATAACCGTTCCTGAATGTGTGTACTTTGTTGTTGGCTGTGGGTTCTGACAAAACTAAGGCCTAAATTATACATTATAGCAACAAATCCACTTCTTCAAATGAACACCTGCCCCGGTTACATCAAAAGATGGGAGTTGTGGAAGTGATTTAAAATGCTGTTGTAACCAAAGCTTGTTATTTATTTTTATCTCTCTCTATCTAAAGAGGTATGTGTGCAGGGGATGCTAAACCTTCATCCACCTGCCGTATTTCATCCACTTGAGCTTAGTTCTGATAATGTAGTCCAGTGGAGAGATAAAGGATGGTTGGGCTGGATAGGTGAACTGTGAGAGTAAGGCCAGTAGGCAGCATCCTTCACAAACATGACTTCTGAGTGTTTAAAGTACAAGAACAACAACAAACCACACTCCTCCACACCCATATTACAGGACTAAACTTTAATTTAAAGACATGGGACTGCTGCCATTGTGGGTTACTTCCCCCTCCCCGGTAATTAACACCCAACTTATGGCGACCCTGTGGGGTTTTCAAGGCAAGAGAAGAAGGTCCATCGGTGGCTATTAGCCACAAGGTATAGATAGGGACTCCGGGGCAAGTTATGCTCTGTATTACTGGTGCTTGGGAGGGTGTCAATAGTGGGAGGGCTCCTAGTGTCCTGGCCCCACTGCTGGACCTCCTAATGGCACCTGGTATATTTGGCCACTGTGTGACAGAGTGTTGGACTGGATGGGCCATTGGCCTGATCCAACATTGGCTTCTCTTATGTTCTTAAGAACAGAGGTGCTTTGCCACTGCCTGCCTCTGCATAGCAACCCTGGACTTCCGTGGTGGTCTCCCATCCAAGCACTAACCACGGCTGTCCCTGTTTAGCTTCTGAGATCTGATGAGATCAGGCTACCTTGGGTCACTTGGGCCTCCAAACATCAAGGCTGCTTGCCTGCATGACTCCACCTCGGATTCTGTTCTTCAGTCCCACTAAATCGGAATAGGAACTGCCTTGATATATGCATAAATTTCCTGTGTAGGTTATATGCTTGCAATACCACAAAAGTACCTAATGTCATCATTCTACCATGAACTAATCACAGGCCTGTGCAGGAGGCAGGCTAGTAACTATGGCAGACTGATTTCTAAGCTTTTCTGGGGGCCCTGGAAGAAAGAGAGGGTGCGGAGCCTGACCCCACTGAAGGCCAAGTATTACAAGTGGAACTCTTACAGGGAGTCTGCTCCTGGGAAACAATCGGGAAGAGGTACAAGAGGCCCCTTTTACCCTTATTGAGATTTGACATGTTATTCATTGAAAGAATTCCCCCCCCCTTTTCTTATTAACTGAAATATTTATATTATGCTTTTCTCCCACATTGTGGACTCAAGACATGTACATCCCAAATCAATGATGGAATTTACAATACAGCATCCGTATCTTGTGTTTTGACTGACTGAAAGAGAAGACTCCCAAATATGCATTTTAGAAAATGCATATGTCTATGTGTTTTTAATCCACAGCAAGAGCTACGTATTTTGTTGGTGGCCAAATATAGGGGGAATTTAGATACCTCCCCCCCAAAAAAAAAATGCTTTGCTCTTGTAGAATCATTAGTCTAGCAAATGTACATTGCACAGTTAAAATCAAGATGCATGGAGGCTGCAAGAAGTGAATGAAAAATGAACAAAGACAGAGCTAGTTTACAGCACAGGACAAAATAAAGCATTTGCCCAAGTACTAGTTCCACAGAGCTGCCCAGGAATGCTAGACTTGCCACGTTCCATTAGGAACATTGCTATTTTCCTTTCAGAAACTCTGGGCAGTGTCAGGGGTCAGCTTGGTGGGGCCTCTGCTGAGACTGTGGCTTAACGGAGGGCCTACCACCAGAGATACTGGCCACCTGCTCCCATCATAAAATGGGAGCAGGCTTCTGGGACAAGTTGCCCTGTCCTAATGGGAAAAGCACCTGGGGAGATAATACAACATGGCTCTCTCAGGCAAGAGGGGGGCTCTGCTTCCTCCCAGGTGACTCCAAAACCAGCAAACAGGAGAGACTGCAGTGACAGGCAAACAGAGTGTTCACACAAAACAGCCACATACTGCTGTGCTGTTCAGCGACGTATCCCACTATGGAATGGGGGTCGCCCCAGAAATCCATGCCAACATCACATGTAGTAGGAGGCACACTGAAGAGAGCAAAGCAGAGGCCCTCTGGCTCCCATAAGCCTTGCCTCACCAATCCCAGAGAGATATGGAGGTAGAGGTGGGTGGATGTGCATGCATGAGGGGAAGCAGAGATGGGTAAGGCATGATAGCGAGGGAGGGGGGGCAATGAAGGATGTCTTGCCCAGCACCTCCCCCAAATCTGGAACTAGCCCTAACTTTGGGGGAAACTAAAGTTCTGTAAGTGCTGTTCGTCCTATCAAAGTGATGGAGAGAGTATCAGATCAATGTTATCTATACAGAACATTTTTATCCTGCCCTTCCTTCAACAAGCTCAGAGTGTAAGGCATGGGCCTTCCCCCCCCCCCACTTAGTCTCACAACAACCTTGTGAAGTAGGTTAGGCTGAGAGTGTGTGGCTGGCCCAAGAATACTCACACTGAAGAAAACATGAATGGCTGCACCAGTAGGCAGGAAAAAATGTAGAAAAACAGGTGCAAGGTGAAAAAATATTTATTTCCTACTCGTAGATCCCTACACATTTTGCAATTTGTCAGGGTAAAATTGCCTAACATTAATTATTACAGTTTTCATACTTACAAAACCGAGCGTGATACATGTGAACAACCTTGGAAACTGTATGTCACCAATTTTGCTGTTTACTCCTTTATACGGATTTGTGCTTCTGAATGTTTCCGGGTTGAAATGTTATTGTAATTTACTACAGGGTTTTCACAGACCTAAGTGTATTATGTTTGTATTGGCTCTTATGTATCATGCTTGCTTTTGTAATTATGAAAACTGTAATAATTAATGTTAGGTTTGACTTTTGAATGACATATTTATTATTAAATGAAGTGCAATTTTACATTTGATACTAGATCCCCTGATGAACCAAACTGCGAAATGCGTAGGGATCGACAAGCACTATTTTTTTTACCTTGCACCTGTTTTTCTACATTTTTTTCTGCCACGGCTACCCAGCAGCCCTCATGGCACAGTAGGGATCTGAACCTTGGTCTCCCAGCTCAAAGTCCAACGCTCTGGCCATTACAGCATTACCCACTCACTGTTCATCAACCCTTGCACAATGAAGAGAAAGAAGCCCTGCTTCATACTGAAAAAAATATGAGTTCTACCAACAAGCCAGCCGTCATGGGATATGCTCCTGCTGGCTTCCTTCTTGTGTGGCATGAAAACAGAGTTTTATTTATTTATTTATTTGGACTTATATCCCGCCTTCCCCACAAGCAGGCTCAGGGCAGGTTCCAACAATACAAATACAATATATAATACAATCAAAACCACTTAAAACAACAATATTAAAAGAGAGAAGCTACCCTGGATCAACAGCTGCCAGGCCAGGTTTAAAAGTATAGGCAGCACTAACATGGGAAGGGAATATCAAGGTAAATCGCAGGATCCAGAAAAGGTGTCCTCCTATTAACACTGAGTCTGAGGAAAGGCAAACCAAGAATACTGTTCTAACATCACATCAGGAACAAGGACATCCACTGGCATCTAATCATGTATAAATGTCACCTAAAGTGCAACAATTTACTCTCCTTCCCTGTTTTTAATCAGTATTTCCATGTTACCCTACATTCGCATGTTGTGCATGGCAAGGTTTGAGTCATATTTCCTTATTTATAGTCCACTTTTCTCAAGGTGGGTTACAATATTTAGCAATGTAACAGAAACAGTATAAGACACATAATAAACATTGTACTAACACTGGACTACAACATTAGAAAACAATGCAAGAGAAACAGTAGGAAAAGATGTTAAAAATTCAAAAACTGGACTACAGAAAATAAGAAAACAATGTATTAAAAACAAAAATATGTACAATGAATAACACCATAAGCAGTTCCTTTGTCCCCTTTTGTAAAAACACTCTCCTGAACAATTCCATTTTTTAAAAAATGCTGGCCTGAACCATTCCGTTTCACACATTTGACGGAATGACAGAAGCATGGGAGCCTTTTTAACCTTCTCAGGCGGACTATTCCACAAAGTGGGAGCCACATATACCCAACCCCACATGGGTAGAAAGTGAGACCGTATCACTCCAGTCTTGTTCCATCTACACTGCCTTCCAATTTATTTCTATGCTCAGTTCAAAGTGCTGGTATTGACCTTTAAAGCTCTACACGGCTTGGGGAGGGCAACATATCTTAAGGA